CTTCATTTTCTGTGTTGAATGTGAACTGGAAGTGTGATTTTGATCCTCTGCTTCTGCCTTTGTTATGCAGGAAAGGTTGGTTGGCTTCATGGATGAAAGTTTATGTGAAGTTCATAGCTCGTTGTTGTATATACACATTATTGGTTAAACTTTTGTTCATGTGCAGTTCAGGTTTTGGTACAAAGAAAACAAATCACAAAAGGGGGTCAGTATCACACACACACACACACACACTATAGTACTATACACACTCATCCCCCTTATAAAGCAAAGCACCTCTAATAGGAGAATTATTTACGTCCAAATCCATCTACTTCATAAAAACCACAAGTAAAGAAAAAGATAATACATATGCTCCACAATCATCAGCCAGTTTTCTAACATGCTTTCGTATTATACTGTTACATTCTGAAACACAGGTCACTGTAGCTAGTTAACGAGTTAGTCATAGCGGTTTTTCGCCCGCTCTCAACACGTCCGAACAAGACCATGAAATGTGTCATTAGAGTCACTGGAAACTGTGGGATGTAACAGGAATTGAGGTGACTTGATCAAACTGTTGTGCCATTAGGCTTTCAGCTGTAGTTTTGCCAGTTTTTGTTGTTTGCTCCAACAGACGAACTAGCGAGATGAATATTTCCATTCTTGTGACGTCTCTGTTGGCCTGTTCCAAAATAGAAAAGAAAAGAAAAGATAAATCAGTGCTTGGCAAAGAAAAAAACACTTCTGCTTTTGAAAATGAATGCTAATAGTTGGATTAATTATGAGAAAGTATTTGGCGAATAAATAGTAAATTTTACTCATCTGTATGTAAAAGTGCTAGCTTAAACACCATAATATTTCTATGCAAGGCAAATGAAGAATATAACATTATATTTACAACAGTTTGGGACGTTATGGAGAATTTACCTCGACAGCAAAGCGCGCCCAGATCTTGTCTTTCCGAGTCTCCATTACTCCCTTTAAAATGGTTAGCCCAAGTCCTCTAATTATGTCTGCTATTTCTAGGAACAGCCCTCTTTCTTCACAGAGCATCTGTTGAAGGAAACCTTTCCGTAAAACCGTTTGCACATAACTTCAAGAAACAATGGCCAATGGATAAAAGAATTTGAAGCCTTTGTATTCAAGGGATGCTTCTTGTTACCTCCACAAGCATCTGACGTGGCTGATTAAGATCCTCGACTATGATAGGACAGACCATCGACTGTGAGCATACTTCGTAGGCCCATGTAGCTCCACCTTCGAAGTTGTCTTTCAAAACCAAACCTCCATTCTTGCTAATAATCTGAAACTCAATAACAACATAGGATATATAAATATTTGCATTGTTATAAACTATCAAGGGATATTTCCATTTTGGAAAGATGGATGGAGTTTTTTTTTTTGGCAATTAAACTAAACATGATGAGTGTTTTTGTAATGAACCTCAAATTAACAACCGTAAGATGAATATAGTTATGCATGTCAGCCAGTCATCAGTTTTCCATTTTGCTCAGGGCAATTTTTATAACAAACGAAATCAATCAGAATTGCAGCAATGAGTTAAACAGAAAGAAACATCAAACTTAANTTAATAAAATAAACCAAAATGCCTATATCACAAAATGCAAAAAATACACTACATTTCAAGAAAGAGATTACCTTTGCCCCATTGGGAACAATCTCCCTCAACTCCTTTACCCTATCTTGAATCATCTGCCTATCTTTAGGCCTTGGCCTTGGATTTTCTCCGGGTTTCAGCCTCTTTCGACCCATTTTACCACTCCCATCGTCTGTCTTTTTCGAATATCCAGTGGACACACTGTTAGCTTGTTTACCCTTCTGATCACTCCCAATCCACGAACTTAATTGCGACCCGTAAATCGAGCTCCCCTGCGAGTAAGCTCCCGACTCTCCTTTAACGCGATCAGAAATCCCAAACCTGCCGTAAGGTAGCGAACAAGAACTCGGTCCAGACGAGCCACTAATGTTCGTAAATGTGGTTGCACAAGAAACACTTTCATCAAAGCCCCATTTTACCGGATGGTGAATTTTAGAAACAACGGCCTCTAAGAGATGGTCGGAACTAGTCGAGGAGAAAATCCCACTTTCTGAATTTGCTCGACTATTAGTAATAGTAGGAAAATCACTGCTCGACTCGTTATTCCAAGATTTACTGAATAGCTTATTCTTGAAATCAGCTCCCAAGACGTCAAACAAGTCATCGTCTCTTGAATTGTGCTTTTCTTCGCTGCCAACGTTTATAAGCTCGTTATATTGAGGCAGACGAATATTAAGGGCCTGCTGACCTGCATTGTTCTCGATCTCTCTCTTAATCACGCTCGACTGACTTTTCACAATCTTTGTGCCTGTATTTGTCTCTGGTTTGGAAAAGCTAGAATTTTTAAGCTCACTGAAAGATGGGTTCTTCAAATTAATGTTTCCACCATCAGAATAATACAATGTAGACCACATTTGTGGGTTTGAGGGAATAACTTCAGCCTTGGCCACTACATTTTTTGACTGGATTGAAGAAGAAATGTCTAATTTCATTGGCTGGGTAAATTTCAAGTGGTGATGGACTCCATTTTGGCTCGGGGTCAAGTAATAAGATGTTTGGCTGTCAATCATAGAAGGCTCCGCCGAGTTTGAAATATAGTTTAAGCTATCAAACGAGCAAGGTGGGTTGACTGTATTCAGAGTGTGTTCTTTAGGTAGTTCATTAAGATATCCGAGTTGAAGTAATAGTGAGGTAACGTCGTTCACGAATCCCATATTCTCCATTATCTGAGACCAGAAATCACAAATCACATTTTTTGTGGAACAAATTCATAAAGAAGTACAATAATTACATTCAAATTTCAATAAAGCACATTCAGTGAAAAGAATAGTGTACACTACATAACAATTTTAACATCATTTTTATGAACATGACTATGAGGAGCGAAAAGAAAAGCCTTACGTTCAAGGATGAACCAAATTGAACAACACCATGAGGAAGAACAGGAATAACTGCAACCGTCTGATCACAAAATTCAAAGAAAGAAATAGTCAGACCACCAAATTCAGTGACATGATGGATTAATAAAAGGACAGGAAGAAAAAACAGACAAAAAATTATTGATTCAGTACCTGCATACCGGCTGCAAATTGTAAGCACAACTCCTTTTGAACCTGTAAAGGCCAACGATAGATAAGTAGTATGCTATATGTAACAGAGAAAACTTGACATTCATTAAATAGAAAATCCATTAGAACCTATCATATATTCAAAATTTTTGCAACAACCTATTTTAACCAAGATAAGTCTGATAGTCTAAATTCTTATTTTTCATAAATAAAAAAAATATAGAGTTCACAATATAGCTGCACTGATTTCTGCAAGAATTCATTCTTTAAAGTGAATAAAATGAGTCTCGTAAGGACAATCAAATTAAGACACCATCCTGTCTGAGATGATTGTGAAATGAAAGATTTAAAGCAGAATCATGATTAAAAGTTGTCATATTTATTTTAAAAACTAATATAAGCCTCTTTTTTTTTTCTTTTTCCAGCTAAAAGATGAATACACTTTCTTTCAAGTATTGCAAAACACACTCCCATCATACCTCTGATGGCTGAGCTTCTCTATAATAATTCTCAGCTAGGACCCACTGATGGTTTCCAGTAAATGCAACTCTTCCAACTAACCTGAGGAAAAATAAGACAAACAATATACTTTTATCAAACAAGGACAAAAGGGAAAAAAGAAAAGGTTCTCCATGACCTCAAGCACAAACTATATCTACTAAGATTTGAGAATTAGATACCCTTCTCCGAAAACATTAACTTGATTGTCAATCATCATCTTGTTTACAAGCAAATGAATCTTATTCCCTGCTCGAACACTCGACTGTAAATTGCAAGTTTCAGATGAAACCCAAGAAGCACTGTAATCATGAAATGAGTTGTCTGGATTTAGATCTCCAGCTAGCCCTGAACATGATGCAGTTTCGTAGTAACATTCTTCCCATATTAAAAGCCTGCAAAAGAAAATCAAGCTGAAATCTCGGAGTCTGACATTATATAATCTTTTTTAGAGAATAAAGGTAACAAAAATAGATAATTAAGAAAATCCAGAAACAAACAAGGGAATTTGTGGGAGACAAGAGAAAGGTACAAAATGGATGCAACTAAGATGTACAACATAAGTATTTAACATATATATCTATCATACTTGAGAGGATTTCATCATCTGGAAACAATTCCAATACTTTTACTGAGATTTTTAAAAACAAATAAAAACTGACCCACAAGAAAGCTCCAAACTCAAAGAAAGTGAAAGCTTCACTTATCAGATCACGGAGCAAAAGGAGGAAAAGACAACCATATCCAGTAAATCTGTAACTTATTAAAACATATATTGTTAAAAGACAAATTCGTCAACTTTAACCATATACTGTCAAATGATTACTCATATAATTACAGATCAAAGGAGCAGCAGTCCTCTAAATTAGTCAAAATCTAAAGAATTTTGAGGAAAAAATATATAAAAATGCAATTCAACAGAAAATTTTTCATCTTCTTGGAAATATTGGGCGGTTTCAAAAAAAATCTCCAACAGAGATGTTAGGATTAGAGTTTTGTGTTCCACTTTTCCCTTATCAACCTAAACTAAACCTTTAGAGGGCAAGCAAAAACTCAAACAAAAAAGGCAAATTCTAAAGGGAAATAAAGATAATATTTTTCTCTTGATTACTCAAAATAGAGGTTCATTATAGACACTCACTTGGGGTTTTGGCAGCCAATCTTCCAGAAAACAGCATAAGACCACTGATTAACCCCACAAAGAGTCTTCAGAGCTTCTTTCAACAAGTAACCCATTGCAGAAAAAAACAATGCCCCCAAAATAAAACCAGTAAAAATATATTCTGTCAATATTCTTGAGCGCTATAAATGAAGATTCGAAAGGACCCAATTCAGAAGTGAGACTGACAAAGAGGACCAAGTGATTTGATTATCTCTCTCCAAGAGAGCAAAATTTTCCCTTTGCCCTTTACTTAGAGAATATTTTTTTTAAAAGAAAAAATAAGAAACAAACGCCTTAGTCTAACTCCCTCTGCAAGACCCGCGCCCTGCCTGTTTTGTTCTCAGCTCACCACTCCTTTTTCTCACTGGATCCAAGTTTACTGTTAGCATGCTCTTGCAACCCATTCTCAAGAGACAGAAAATAAAGGGGACGCGAAAAAAGAACAGAAAATAGGAGGGAAATGAAGACTAGAAAAAGAAAATTAATCTTCTTTAATTTTCCAGAACAAAAAGACTGAGCACGTTACACTATCCCGCAAGCTTTAAGCTCGCAGTTAACCACCAAGACATCAACTTTCTCCATTTCCAAACACTGCCAAAAAAACGTGTGCTTTTTTCAGTGATTTTTCGGGTTAAAGAGCTTGAATGAAGGATTCAAAACAATCAGAGCATTTTAACTGGTTTTCAAAGTGGGAAATCACTCTGAGAAGCTCTGTTTGTGTGTGAGTGTTTCTGGGCTGATTCTTTAATGCTTGTTTGCTCCTGAGGCGAGTGTGCGAGAGTGAAGAATGGTGGTATTTTATTTGTGCTGCTTTTCGTTTTTCTCTTTCTTTGTTTTTATTTTTTTCTCAGTTGGGTTGAGTGGGGATGACGAGGCGGTGTGTGCTAAAATGCGCGATGATGATTGGCCAATGAGAGGTAGGGTAATGGAAAAAGGCCTGGAGTTTGGGTTTATTTGCAATGGCTGCCACTGGTACAGTGGTATGGTGTGGTGTGGTGGGGATATACTATTTTTGTCGCCTTTCCTGTTACATTTTACTGTTTCCTTTTTTTTTGGTAAACTATTTTCAGGTGGAAAGGGAATCAGAATTTTGTAGCCCTTTGGACCTATTGTGGAGAAACTCTGTGGGAGGTCCAGTGAAGAGCTATCTTCTTTGGAATGGAGAGAATATGAACAAATCTGATGGAAACGAGACCGCGATCGCTTTTTTAGACAGATATGACCGGCTCCAGATTTAGCTAGCTTATTTTCAGTCTATCTTTTATTATGTTATTATTATTAGGACTATTAAAATAAATATCTTGCATCTGTTAGGCAAGACACTTGGTAGAATAGGATTCTTATTTTCATTTAATAGCCCGTGGTTTGTACAGGAAAAGGCATTATTGAGTTTTTATTAGATTTATGAGTTTTCTGTCGAGAGAGCATCTCGTATTCATTCCCTTTCGTATCACGTTCTACATCAGTTGGTGTCAGAGCCCAGCGACGATCCACGATGCCGCCCAAGAGAGATAACACCGTTGACGATCGTATCCAGCGAATGGAAGAGCGATTCCAAGGGATGGATGACCGATTCACGGACCTTTCGACGGGAATCGAGGAATTGCGCGTGGTGATGCGAACCATGATGGAGGACCGTACGAACCGCGACAACGGTGGCCGGGCCGTGCGCGGTGGGCTTCGCGGAGGACGGGGAGGACGCGGCTTTGGCGGGGCGCCCCGCCAGCGTTCACCACCATTTCTGCCCGGTGACGAGGAGGACGAGGAGACTGTGAGTGTCGACAATCCCTTCGTGGCTGAGCAACGTCGGCGACCCGCAGGCGACGACTTCCATGGACGGGGAGGTGGGTTCAGGCGGCGCGATGCTAGGGTTTATCGCAGGGGAGATTTTGGAGATGCTGACGGCGAGATGGGGTACAGGGACGGAGAAGGTGACTTCGAATCTGACTCCGACGACAACGGCTTTAACCGACGTGACGGAGGAGGTCGTGCAGATAACCGACAGCGGCGGCAAGGCTTCGTTGATCAAAAGGGTTTTGAGCGTGTTGGATAGTACCGACGTGACGGCAGGCGCCCGATAGAAGGGGGTGATGAGTCGCGTTGGGAGCAGGGGTTTCGTGTGGATATTCCGGAGTTTGCAGGCGATGTTGATGGCTCGAAATTTCTTGACTGGTGGGCTTCAGTTGAAGCGGTTCTCAAGTTTAAAGGGGTGCCAGATGATAGGCGGGTTGAGTTGGTCGCCACTCGTTTTCGAGGAAGGGCAGCGACGTGGTGGATGCAACTTACGAGTATGCGGCATCGTCAAGGAAAACCGGAAATCGTATCTTGGATGCAATTTCGTAAATTTGTGGAACGTGAATTTTTGCCTTACAATTACGATAGCCTGGTTTATCAACAGTTACAGAACTTACGTCAGGGCCCACGTTCAGTTGATGAATACACGAGCGAGTTTTATCGGCTCTTAACTCGTGTTGAGCTAAGGGAGACTAAAAATCAGTTGTTTCACGTTACGTTGGCGGGTTACGTGCTTCGATACGAGATACTTTGAATCTTTTTCGGCCGAAAAATGTTTCGAATGTGTACCAACGAGCTATTCTCGTAGAGACACAGGCTACTCAAAAATCAGGCTCAACTTTCGCATTTTCTTCACGAGCAGGCGTCACCTCACAGGCTGTCCGGATAGCCCCAACAGCCGGAAATGTGTTCGGGCAGGGACCAATGACCGCACGGCTGCCGGTGTCAGGCGGAGGGAACCAGCGCGGGACTAGCGTTGGTGGACAGCCGTTATCTGCGGCGGAGGCGCGAGCAGTGGCGGGGTTGAGGTGCTTTGGTTGTGGTGAAGTCGAACACCGCCAATCGATTTGTCCACGTGGTCCGGGTACTCGGGCATTATTTACAGAGGATGCGGGAGAATATTCCATGACTGAAGGGTATGAAGGACCGCCGATTTATGATGTTGAGCAGAGTGAGGTGAAGGAGATTGTGCCAGGTGATGTTGGTACGGCTTTGGTTCTTCGACATACCTGTTTGGCACCACGAGGTTCGGCTAATGCACCGGTCGAGCGACATCATCTCTTTGAGTCTACTTGCACAGTCGGTAACAAGATCTGTCGATTTATTATTGACTCTAGGTCTTGTGAGAACGTGGTCGCTCAGGAGGCAGTCGACAAACTACAACTCTCGATGGTGCCTCACCCGCAACCGTATACACTTGCGTGGATCCAGAAGGGCACGACGGTCACCGTTGACCGTCGGGTATTGGTTTCTTTTTCGGTGGGCGCGAAGTATCGTGATCAGGTATGGTGTGATGTTGTCCCGATGGATGCGTGCTACTTATTACTGGGTCGGCCTTGGCAGTTTGATTGAGCGGCTACTCAAGACGGTTGTCTTAACACATATTCCTTCCTTTTTGGTGGTGTCAAGATTGTTTTGCTACCTAATTCTCCACGCCTGCTACCGCCTACGAGCTCGTCTTCTTCGGTTCTTTTTCTCTCTCATTCGGCTTTTGTGAAGGAGATGAGATGCGTGACTCGCCCGTGCTTCTGCTACTGGTGGGTGTGGATGCAGGTGACGAGCGGTCGCCACCCGAGATCATTCAGAAGATGATGGAGACGAGACCCATCCGGATTCGAGGGCGTATCCTTCCCAACCGAGGGAGGATGATGGAGACGAGACCGCGATCGCTTTTCTGGACAGATATGTCCGGCTCCGGGTTTAGCTAACTTATTTTCAGTCTATCTTTTATTATGTTATTATTGTTAGGACTATTAAAATAAATATCTTGCATCTGTTAGGCAAGACACTTGTTAGAATATGACTCTTATTTTCATTTAATAAACCGTGGTTTGTACGGGAAAGGCATTATTGAGTTTTTATCAGATTTGTGAGTTTTTTGTCGAAAGAGCACCTCGTATTCATTTCCTTTTATATCACGTTCTACATCAAAATCTTATTGGGTTGAGATGATATAAGTCTATAATTAGTGTGGAGAACCCTGTTGGCTAAATTTTTTAACTATGTATAAAGTAATTATAACTAGTGGCGAATAAGATTATATTCTAACGATATTAGTGTTAAATTGATTGATTACTACAAATGTAACATAATAAGTATAAAACTGAAAATAAAATTAAATTAAGCAAGCAGGAAAGAGCAATAGAGAATAAAAATATACTAATCTATGTACTAACAACTTTAAAATCGCTAATGAATTAGATCATTTACAGTTGTTTCCATTCATTTAAGTACAAATTACACTCTGTTTCATTCACATAAAATCTAACTCATCACTTCACTAAACATTTCCATTTAAACATACTTTCACATTTCAATATATTTAAATACAAATATATTTGAAGAGAGGATCCAGCAATATATCATCAAATTCCATTAAAGCCAAGAATGGCTATAGCTGACCACTGCTTCTTCGTTTCATTGTGTTGATCAAATTGGTATTAATGGAAGTACATCATTTTTAAATGACAATTGAATGGTACAATGTGATTGCCCTTAGCATTTAAACATGGTCTTGGTGTTAGTATTTTATTTTTTAAGTTATCTTGTATTATGTATAAACAAAATAATTTTTAAAGTGGTCTACATGTTCCTATTTATAAAGAATACAAATACTATTAATTACTTATTAATTCTATGATGGACAGAATTAATAACTAGACATCATACCTTTCTACCAAAAGTACCTTTCAAGCCAAAGGGTACCATCAGCAGGCAAAAGGTCTCTGGACTCGTCACTTTACGACTACTGAATCCTACACCATCTAAAGAGAAAGTGAAAGAGCCCAAAAAATCTTGACCGAAGAAAACAGAAGTAAAAGTGCCCAGAAGCCTTCAATGTATTGTTTTCTACAAGTTCTTGAAATAACTCAAATACACACAAACAATGGCTGGATGTATGTAATCTCGATCATTCCGTTGTACCGATATATGATTAAATCGGATAACAATTCTTACATTTGGTATTAGATCTCTGACTTGCTTGTGTTTTGTATGTTTTCAAATAGGAGTTCTAATTCCATGGAATTGTGATATTTGCATCTACTTTATTTTGGGGGTCCATTAAATTTTTTGATAATTTAATTTGTTCATGGAGAATTCTTTTAGGATTTGAATATGATATTTGATAATTTTTCATGAATATATGTGATGTTTCATGAATTTGGATGACATTTTCTTGTGCTTTTTGGACCTTGTTATGTTGTTTTCGGACTGGGTCTGTAACCGGGTCGGGTTTTGACCCTGCTGGAGGTTGAAGATGATTAAAAAATTTATGTTTATCAAGCATGTTACATAAATTAATCTTGACAACTTATAGATAAATAATTGTTTGGAGATTTACAATTGTATGAGTTATTATTTTATGTTATGTGGTGGAGTATAATTTTAATTAATTAAGGAGTAGTCGCATCATCCTTATTAATTTGATTGGAAATATATATAAATGTTGTTGATAACCACATATGGATATAATAACATAAGTTGTGATTTTTCATATAAAATTATGGTGGATCTTATCCCACAAGAATTTCTACTATATTTGTGCGAGTAATTAGGATCAAATATCAAATTAATTTTCTAATTTGCCTACAGGAATTGAAAAATTGAGATAATTTGATAGTTTTATATAAAAGTTTGTTTTTTTTATTTTTTTAATTGATTTCTTTGCCACGTCAGCGTTTGGCATGTCAAGTAAGAGGAAATCGGGCATGAGGGCGTCACGTGCGGGCCACGTGACAAATTCGGCGACAAGTTTGACTTTTGGGCGCTGGAAGGACTAAATTTACGTTGACTTTTGAAATTACAGGACTAATTAGGAAAATGCTCTGATCTTAGAATGAAAATTGCCACGAGGCCAAAGCAACAGGACCAAAAATGCAAT